TGTGTCTCATATACTTTTTCTAAAAGATGTATTCATAACTTCTCAAATCAAAGTTGTCTTTTCTCACACCATGCACTAATAGGCCCTTTGCAGCTAAGCCATCACGGGACCTACTTTTCATAAAATTATGTGCTATAACTTAACGAATAGCAAAAATGGAAAAAGCATGTAAAAAAATATCAAAATGACCAAGTTTGATGCCCCCATCATTAAAGAATGAGATTTTATGACAGTCTGAATTTTTAAAAAAATAACAAGATTTGTATGAAAAAAGTTGTTAGAGAGGGGCTTTCCCTCCAGCAATATTTTGCGTACAAATCCTCTAAATTTTCCGAAAATTCAAACTATCATATAAACTTACTCTTTAATGCCAGGGGCCTCAAACTTGGCAGATTTTGTATTTTTGATATGTACTTTCCATTTCGAGCATTCTTTAAGTTAAAGCCCATAATGTAGATTTTTTTTAAGGAAAAACTTGGTCGCATGTCACAGAGAAACCTAAACCGTTCTTGGGGATTGGCTGGAGATGGTCGTCTCCTTGTCCTTATTCATTTTCCCGAAGGCCTGCATTGAGTTGGGTGTGCACGTGGAGGGGGTTACCTTCTTAGTGAAGGGGTTTATACTCAACCTCGTTACTAGGCTCTCTCTCTAGACTTCTCAGAATTAGAAAACCAGAATTAGAGAACTCTTCTAGACTTCTCAGAATTAGAAAACCTTTATCAAGCTCTTATTTTCCAAGGATTTGCTCAAAATGACATCGCAATGTTTCATGTCTTATTGTGGTACCCTCCCGATTTCCCGTCATATGTTTCCTTGAAGCCTTGAAAAATCCCTCCAACCCCAACCCCAAACTCCCCCACTGCCACCACCGCCATTCGTAAATATTCAAAGCGCGTACAATACCACACAGCACAGTCAATAAAGATAACAAAAACCTTCTGGCAATGGTAGCTATCTGATTTGATCATGGCAGTGCCGTTAATTGCGCTCGGTATATAACAGTAACATACCTACAGACAAGTTTTCCGCTCGCATGAGAATTCAACTGGTCCCTGGGAAAACCTTCAATTAATTTCGTTTGTTAACTTTACAAACAGAATCTAGGAACAAAATAATATGCATAAATGTAACTTTGCACTGAATGAATAGCATGTTCCATGAACAATTTACGCTCTAAGTTATGGAAGTACCTGTACAGTGATTTCCTAAACTCAAAACTGTTGGAATAGGTTTCCCAGTCTCTGATCCCCTCGGGAAAAAGTCATTGCTTCCCGACTAGAGTAGGGAGAGGATCATGTTAGTTATGACTTAGTCAGTGGTTATGATGATCGAAAATCTAGAGCAACACAGTAATATACATTTATTTATCGTGTAAATTAAATCAAATTATTTCAGGCATGTGATTTAGTTTTAAAATACATAACCCGGGCAAAAAAGAAGTCCTTCCTTTGTACATGTACCGGTACGTACTGTGGAGGTTCCCGTGGAGGGATAGGGTGGCGTGAACTGTTCAGCGGCAACTTTGTTTCGTTCCCGCCATTTTCAACTTTTACCTCTCAAACTGGGCTCCAGCAATACCATCAAAACCGAAAGATTATCGCTACAAAACTGGGCTTGTAACCAAGTTTAAACGACATGGACGGTACTCAGAAACGCAAAGGAGGTCAGGATGGCAGCAGCTCTGCTAAACGTGCTCGCAATGATGATGGCACTTCGGTTAGTTTCGAAGAAGAGTTAGCCTCGCTCGGTGAAGTCTCCATTAGAAATCCACAGTCTAAGTGGCCCAGACCAGCCGTACCAAAATTAAACTGTTCTACCGATAGCATTGTGTTTCAGCAACTGGAGGTGGATAACTACATAGGTTTGTATGTTTTATTATCTTTTATTCTAGAAGCTTGAATGAAACCTTCTTTGCAACCTTCAATCTCTTGTGTTCACACTTATTTTCGCTGAGTTTGACAAGATTTTTTGGAATGTTCATCGAATCATAAGCTTTTTAGTTTTCGTCCTACTTTATGGTGCACTGTTGTGATAAATTTAAAATTTCTCCAAACCTTTTTGCAGCCATTTGAACCAGGATTGGGGAGGGGGCAAGGGAGGGTGGGGGGNAACCTGTCTCTATAAAAACAATACAGCACCAAACCAAAACAAAACTGACTTGAAGTGATGGATGGCACTGTGTCAATGAGAACCAAGGGATGTAGGTTGCACAATTTAAAATCTCCTTGGGAATGTACTTGCCTTGAGAGGGTTAATGATAAATGTGATTTTTTGATACTCTGTTTTAGTCCTGACCTGAGATATCAATACCCAGTTTCAGAGCTCTAAAATAAGTAAGCTTATGCATAATTGCACAAAAGATACATAGATCTAGTACGAGCTTATGACATAGGGCCCAAGTAAACAATTCTTCTTTGTTTCCCTCTATATGTTTCAAAAGGAATAGGAGACGTTTTCTCCATTTTTTCATCCAGTTATAATGGAAATACTTGTGGAAGTTTGGATAAACCCCAAAAAGCAATGGAAATACCTGGCTTTTGCTCATGTTCCCACAGTGTAATTTTCTTGTTCCCCCAAATTTTCCCTGGTTTTTTAATTAAACAATTAGATTATGGCTAGAGATTTCTATCACGCATAGAAATTGAGAGTGAATAATCTAATTGTTTTAGTATAAATCTAGTCATTCAAAACTTTATCAAAATCCTCCTCACAGACACTTCAAAAACGCCAAGAAGCGGCCATCATTTTGTTAACAAGGGCACACTGCTATGTACGTTACTCACTGTCTATCACAGAATAGATAGTAGCGCAGCCAATCGGAGAATGGCATTCATAATAGAAAGCTAGTAGATTTATACTAAACCTCAATAGAAAGGTGGAAAATGTTTTTAGTTTCTTATTATTCCTTTCTGTTGCCCTGATTAAGGTCAACCCCTTCAAGGAATGCCCGGTTCAAAGGTTGGTCCAGTGCCGATAGTTCAAATGTATGGCGTGACGATGGAAGGGAACAGCGTTCTGTGTCACATCCATGGTTTTGTGCCATACTTATATGTCCCTGCTCCTCCTGGATTTCAGCAGAGTCACTGCAGTTTGTTTCAGGATGGTCTTAATAAGGCTGTGCTGAGTGACATGAGATCCAATAAAGACAATGTGTCCCAAGTGAGTGTTCAATGTGTGGATCATGTTTACTGTAGGTAGTGTCAGCCTATGGACTGATATATCGACCAACACCCGGCCGATACACAGCTGATATATCGGCTTATAGTCGGTCGAGTGTTGGTTAAGTATCGGTTGGGTATCAGTCGAATGTCAACCAAGTATTGATTGAGTTTCAGTTGATATGTCAGCCATTACTCCACTAACACTCAACAGACACACATATCGGCCAACGTATCGACCGATACTCGAGCGATTCCCAACTGACACTCCACTGACACTCAACTGACACTTGACTGACTGTCGACCGATTTGTCAGCTATGTATCAGTCAATACACACTTGGCGGATACTTGGCTGACATATCGACCATGTGTCGGTCGATATATTAGTCAATAGTTTTGACCAACACTACTTACAGTAAACATGATCCCAATGTGCTTCAACCAGGGAGCCATTTCTGCTTCAACTTACTTATGCTATTTTTGGTGACTTCTTGAGCAACAACTGAGTATGTTTTAGCCATTAAGTTTCATAACATTTTTAGGCTGTCCTAGCTGTTGACTGTGAGATGAAGGAGAGCATCTATGGGTATCATGACAACAGAAAGATTCCCTTTCTTCGCATCACAATGGCACTGCCAAAACTTATTGCACCAGCAAAAAGGATTTTAGAGACAGGCTTTAGATGTGCAGAATTCCCAGAGAAGGGATACTCCACGTATGAGAGTAACATTGATTATGAGGTAAGTAGTATTTTCAAGAGAAAGTAAAGCCTCTTAAGCCCAACTGGCTCATAGCTGTCAGCTTTTAACTCCTGTTTCTCAATTCTGTGGCATGAAACAGTGTGATTGCTACCTCTACTCCTTATCATTCTGTTGGGTTACCCCAGCAATTCACTGGTAACCATTTATAAATCAATTAAATCAAAACTTAAGTATACTTATAACTCATTGACTTTTTACCATGGTAGGTGCGGTTCATGGTAGACACAGGAGTTGTTGGCTGTAACTGGATAGAGTTGCCGGCTGGAAAATATAAATTGCGCTCCCCTTCAGTTGAAGGAAGTGCAAAGAGCGATGCTCGACCTGTATCACATTGTCAAATTGAAGTTGACATAGCCTACGATGAATTCATCAGTCATGCCCCTGAAGGTAAATAAGAAGGACATTATTTTGTGATTTTTAGTTTTAAATAAGCTAATCATCAAAATAATGTATTATTTTGTATCCTGTTATTTAATATAAAAAGGACGTCGCAGTTCTTTGTAATGCATTGCTTAGTTGTTATTCATTTTATTTTCTTCCAGGCGAATGGTCCAAAGTAGCTCCTGTTCGCATCCTGAGTTTTGATATAGAATGTGCGGGAAGAAAGGGTGTGTTCCCTGAACCAGAGAAAGATCCCGTGATTCAGATCGCAAACATGGTTATAAACCAAGGTGACAAGGATCCATTCATCAGGAACGTCTTTACGCTCAACTCATGTGCACCAATTGTTGGATCGCAAGTGTTATCATTTAGTAAAGAAGCAGATATGTTAAAGGTTTGTCAACAGTTTTACTCAAAATATGATTGGAGTCTCCTCTGTCCGTTGCTTCGTTTACTTTGAACAATAAAGTTGATAACCTTAATATCTATAGTCGGATCATATGTAAGTTTAAGGGCATCCAGGGTCAAGGGTTGATTGACCCTCATTCAACACTCGATCAACTTCTCAATCGATATGTGGTTGACACTAGACCAACACTTGATTGACATCTCGATTGACACTCAATCAACAGTTGGTCAATAGTTGGCCGAGTGTCGACCAACTCATAGGTACTAGTCAACATTCTATAGCCTGTCTGTGAAAATATTAGTCAACTCTTGACCAACTTTTGGCTTAGATGTCAATTGAATGTTGATTAAGTGTCATTCCAGATGACCTAGGGTATCGATCGACACTCAACCGAGGATGCCTTTAGAACCCATGATCCATGTAGTCTACTTTCTCTGTGTCACCTGTTGCTCAACAGTAAGAGCATCCAATCAGGGTGTGGACGTTCATATGCTGGACTCCTGCTTAGAGACCAGTGGAACCTCCGGTTGCGACCGCCTCTTGTAAGCGACCACTTCTTCTTAGCAACCAGTTTTCCAAAATACCAAATGTTTCCCAGTCAAATCACTAATTTGGAACCTCTTGTAAGCGACCACCTCTTGTAAGCAACCATGACCACTTTTAGAGCTGAACGTTTGAAATTTTCTTTTATTTTTAACCCCCCGTAAGTGACCACTTCACAGATAATAGAGCAAAAATTGGATAATAAGGTATTGTAACATTATTGCATTCCTGGGTAGTACCTGATTTTTTCTTGAAATTGATTTTTCACATGAATAAAACATTTAAAATTTAAAGAGAAAATGCACGTACACTGTACTCTATCAGTCTAAAAAGAGACGACCTAAATGTCTTAAAATTACCATATGCTAATGAGGCAACATGTTGACCCAATATGCAGTTCTAAGCTCTCGTAAGCAACCACATAGGCTTGACTTTTTGGGTGGTCGCTAATGGGAGGTTCAACTGTACTTGGAAATTGTTTCACTGACTTGCCATCATTTCTTTCAATATCAATTGTTACTTTTTTGTTGATTTTCCTCTTCATCTGTCTAAAGGCATGGAGTGATTTTGTCAAGAGAGTTGATCCTGACATCATAACTGGCTACAACATTGTGAACTTTGATCTTCCATATCTGATCAATCGAGCAGCAGCTTTGAAAGTACATACCTTCCCACTGCTAGGACGAGTTCAAGATGAAAAGAGTACAATATCAAACACAACTTTCCAATCTCGTGCTTATGGAAAGCGAGAAAACAAAGTCATAAACATTGCTGGCCGCGTGCAGTTTGATTTGTTACATGCACTGCTTAGAGACTATAAATTGAGGTCCTACACTCTGAATTCTGTCAGTTTTTATTTCCTTCAAGAACAGAAAGAGGATGTACATCATAACATCATCACAGACTTACAGGTACAGAAAATTAGCTAGACTACAACATTTTTGGTCACTTAATTTATTATTACCTTGGGTGAGATCTTGAACATTGTAAAAATTAACTATTAAAGGGGCTTTGATTTTTATGTCAAGAAGACTAAGTGGTTTCACTATCAGTGGAATTATTTCAGTTTCTCAAACTACTTATAATGTTTTTAGGTGAAAAGCAGTTAAATTAAACAAGAGAAATGAAACCTTAGCCAAATTTTAATCCTAGATTAGTTTCTGTAATCTGTTATGAGCTGCCGTAACATGTCTAATGAATAATACAAATTCTGGGCTAAACAATGTTACGAAAAGCACATTTTCATGGCATCTTTGACTTAGACTCAGAGTTCTCTGAAGATTTTGAAGTAACTGTCTTTATTTTTCAAGAAGGTATCTGAAAGACCGTGATAGCTGGAAGCTGTGTAGCCTTATGCTCCACTCACAGGAGCAAAGAGGATGAGTCAGTGAGTGAGCAAGCTGATTTTGCCATCTTTTGCTTCTTTCACAACCCTGGTTTGTGAATTTCTTTATATCTAGAATGGGAATGACCAGACCCGTCGCCGACTGGCTATCTACTGTATGAAAGATGCAATTCTCCCACTGAGGTTACTGGAGAAGCTTATGTGTGTAATTAACTACATGGAAATGGCTCGTGTTACTGGAGTCCCACTGAGTTACCTGTTGTCCAGAGGACAGCAGATTAAAGTTGTTTCACAGCTTCTAAGAAAGGTACCTCTTTTTTTTTTTTAAGCATACTTGCAGTTGTTGTAGTTAGTACATAATATATAGAAGCAGATAACTTATTTTGGCATTTGTCAATTGACCATAATATGGATGTCCAATATCAAAGATGTACACTGTAAACCAAGACTTGTTATTAACTGGAGTACGGCCACCATGTTGCGCGACATCAATTTTTTTTGTTGTTGTTGGGCACACGTACACGCGATCCATGCCGCCAGCCATATTGACCATGATAAAAGAGTTGCATGGTTTCTATTGCAGCATGCTAACCATAACATCACCATGTCTCTCGCACCTGTAAATGAGACTTCATTAGAATTTTGTTGTTGTTTCTCTAGACCAAGGAGCAAGATCTGTTACTTCCTGCTCATAAGGCAGAAGCTGGAGAGGAATACACTGGAGCCACTGTCATTGAACCATCAAAAGGGTGAGGAGAGACTACAAGTTATGCCTAAGCCATTTGGTATGATATGGAGAAAGTGCTGTTTGTTAAAATGTAACCTTTTAGACCCCATGATTATTTAAATCCAAAATGTATTTGAAGCCTATCTACTTGATAAATCAAGGAAATATGGTACAGATAATTTTAATCACTTGTTTGTTTCTCTTTGTAGGTACTATGACATCCCTATTGCCACACTTGATTTCTCTTCTTTGTACCCTTCGATCATGATGGCTCATAACTTGTGTTACACATCTCTTCTGCATCAAAGCAATCTAAAAGAGTAAGTTAATTGCTCACAGGGCTTGTCAGCTTCATTAAGCAGGAAGCCCTAAAGCTTCAAGATAAAAATACGATACAGTGGCTACAAGAAAGTTCCAACTCTTAAGGCGGATGTTTTGGAAAGCTAGCATTGTTCTGTGAGCAGGTCTTTCCTTGATCTTTCTATCACACTTTGAGGTGATTATTAACAAACTAACTGGGATTATACTTTTTGTGATTTTTAGTCTGAAGCCAGATGAATTTATCAAGACCCCATCTGGAGATTATTTTGTAAAGTCAACCCTCAGGAAGGGACTGCTGCCAGAAATCCTTGAGAATCTGTTGTCTGCAAGGAAAAAGTATGGATTTGAAGTATCTATTAACTGTATCATAGTATACTGTTCCTTGACTTTGTATTCAAGTGTCTATGGTTATGCTGATGATATATTGCGCTTGTCTTTCTGCATTTAAGGGCTAAGGATGACTTGAAAAAAGAAACAGACCCTTTCAAGAAAAAGGTAACCACAAAAAGTTCAGTTAATTTCAAACAGATAAATGTCTTTGTAGGATGCTGAAGCATAGTTGGGTGTATTGGCTGTGAGTTTGTGTGACTTAACAAGCATATTTAACGTTACATTTACCTTTTACTGAAAAAAAGAAAAAAAAAAAAACAATGATCAGCTGATTTCCTTTGATAGGTTCTTGATGGTCGGCAGCTGGCTTTGAAGATAAGTGCTAACTCAGTGTATGGTTTTACTGGAGCCCAAGTTGGCAAACTCCCTTGTCTGCCTATTTCACAGGTAACTGTTAATTGTTAATTGGATCAAGGTAGTTCTCTCTGCACTAGGAGGCTCCCAAGGCTGCAACTCTTGCTCTCCAACCAGAACCAGCCCGGTCTTGTGCCACACCCTTGGCTTTGGCCCAACCGGCCCACCCCCCCAGGGCTGTTCTCCTTTCCCACCGTTCTTCTCATTGTGATCTTTGGTTGTCCCACTTTCCTTGGTGGCTCAAGTAGTTGGTGTTGGACTTAGCATCCCACCCAAGAGAAATACATGTAGCGCAACCAATACTCCTAGGTCATGGCGAACATGCAGTGGAATCTGGGATAAACTTCAGCTGTGTAGGCCAATTTCTCCTGTTTGGATGTAACAAATACTTGTGCTGTGTAACTTAATAATTATTAATTCATATTAATTTGTAATTAACTATACCCACTTGTAGAGTGTTACTGCCTTTGGTCGCATGATGATAGAGAGAACTAAAGAGCTTGTGGAATTAAAGTATACAGTTGAAAATGGTTATAAGACAAATGCACAGGTGAGCAGTAAACCTCACTTTTTATAATCTTAAATACCGGTAGTTAATTATATTCACAAACAGCAGGAGGCTGATCAGTTGAGTCTTTACATTAGTTTTGTCACTGAGGTTAGCTTTTGATTACTGTACTGAAAAGGAAAAGAAAACCATGCAACTGCAACATTTACTGCTTGGCAACACAAATATTTTGAACAGTTAAGTGACAATTGCTCCTGTTTTGCTGAAAGCTAGTGTTGTCTTCCTTTCCAGGTAATTTATGGAGACACAGATTCTGTGATGGTGAAGTTTGGAGTGGAATCTGTTGCAGAGAGCATGGAGCTTGGCAAGGAAGCTGCTTCCTATGTCTCTGGACATTTCATAAAACCCATCAAACTGGAGTTCGAAAAGGTATGAGTGCCTCTAGAAGCTTCTGCTTTTCATCAAGTGCTTATAATATTCACTAAGTTGTGTCAATCAAAAGCCATTGGACAGAATTCCTAATAGTTTAGTTAATGTGTATATCAGACTGTATATCAGTTGAAAGTTCTGTCCAAGAAGTTATTTGAACTCACACATCTGAGAAAGACTGTAGCCTGTATTCCATGCAGCCTATGCCTTTAGTGTTACAATGAAGTATATTATTATGGTATCATAGGTCTAAAATGCATGCAGAGAGAGTAGCTAGAATCATAGGTCTGCAATAGGTGCAAAATGCTTACACTGCATTTTAGAGACAACAAATGTGGTTTTGATGATTGCAGGTGTACTTTCCTTATCTTCTGATCAGCAAGAAACGTTATGCTGGCTTGTACTTCACTAAAGCTGACAAGCATGATAAAATGGACTGCAAGGGGATTGAAACTGTAAGTTCAGCAGATGATAAATATTTTCTAGTCACTGTTTGTTCTTGTTAGCTGTGATTTTGTTTTTGTTTGTTTGTTTGTTTTTTCTGTTATTTATGGCCTGGTTGACAAGTTTCAGGATGTTAATTGTTTACTTTTTTATTACATCCTTTTCAGGTAAGGAGAGATAACTGTCCACTTGTAGCAAATCTTATCAACTCTTGCTTACAGAAAATTCTCATTGAAAGGTAACAGCTGGTCTGTTAATCTCACACTTATTTAACAATATTTGAGTGTCTTGCCATTTTCACAGACGAAACACATTTCTTTGCACAGGAACCCCATGGGAGCTGTTGAGTACACCAAGCAAGTGATATCAGACCTACTGTGCAACAGAATTGATATCTCACAGCTGGTTATTACAAAGGAGTTGACAAAGACTGGAGACGAGTATGCTGGAAAACAGGCACACTCCGAGCTGGCAGAAAGGTATTTAATTCCCACAAACATTATATGAGAAATGCTTGCTTGACATGTGTGATTTGCTGTTGAAAAAATGGTCACCATAAAACTTGGATTGCAGTTGCTGCTCATTTCATCAATTGCAAGTCTATGGTCATGTAAATAATAGCTGATATTATTTTTCATTCAATGCGAAGTAACCTGTTAGTGCTATATTTCTCCTTTTACAGAATGCGGAAGCGTGACGCTGGATCTGCTCCCAAGCTGGGAGACAGAGTTCCGTATGTCATCATAGCTGGTGCAAAAGGAGAGAAAGCTTATGAAAAAGCAGAGGTGGATTGGATGCATTTTTAAAGAACTTGATTCCCACAAACTTCAGTTACTGCTTTGTTTTTCACACGTTACATTTTGTCATTACAGGATCCTATCTATGTTCTGGAAAACAACATTCCAATCGACACAAAATACTATCTTGAGAACCAGTTGTCAAATCCTCTGCTGAGAATATTTGAACCAATTCTGGGAGAGGCTAAGGCAACTTCAGTGCTCCTCAGTAAGTGAATATTACCTGACAATCACATTATTTTCTGTTCTACCTTACAACATCGTATTTGCCTGTTAAAGAGGCAGTGAGAATAAGGATCTTAACTGGAGCATCTATAGGGAGACTTTGTAACCCAAACTACTAAATCCAGGCTCCAGTGCTCTAACCATCAGCTGACCATGCTTCAACAAAAGGATAATAAACATATAATTTATTTTTCTTGGATGTACTATTTTCAGACCTAACATTCAACCAAATGTATGCCAATTAAACAAGTGAAATTTAAGCCTTCTGTATGCATTTGATGCCTCTGATTTCAATATTTGTCTTCGCAACTTCTTTGCAGAGGGTCAACACACTCTCACAAAAACTATAGTCACATCAAAAGTTGGCAAGCTGGCCATGTTTACCAAGAAGAGAAGTACTTGTATTGGGTGTAAAGCAGTCCTGGATGATGATGGTGAGGACGATATGCCCTGAACAGTTTTGATTGAAATTAGAAAATTGTGCTGCAGTGGAAATAGTATGCATGTATTGCTTGCTCACCTTCTCTCAGTTGAAGACAGAGCCTGTGGAAAGTGTGAAGAACAACAGTCACTGTTTCTATCAACCAGCAAATGAGAAAATCTATGTGCTTGAGAATCAAGGGCATGGAGGATTGGATTTTGGCAGATATTTTTTTTTACATTTTTAAGCCTTGGATATGCTCATGCAATATAAACACAAGTCCAGGCGATGTTCTCATGTCGATCCAAATAAAAACATAAGATACTCAGGTGTATTTGAAGTCCTTTGTTAAGATGGTGGATTATGGCCATCTTTGTCAAAATTGAGCCTGCACCAACAATTTGTTCCACTGGCACATGTATTCCAAGTTGTTGCTTTCCCAGATCCTTTATTTAATTTTAATATGCAAGGGCAAGGACAAGAGAATGGAAAGTTTCCTATTCCTTTGCACTTGCTAGTTCACATCCTTTTATATGCTAGAATTTGCTTTTGAATTTTCATCCCACTAAAGCCAGCTGTTACAAAAGAATCAGCCTTAAAGCCTAAGTTACAAAACCTGGCCCCAATAATTTTCTCTAATCAGATCTTTTTCTTCACAAACTAGCTGCCGTCTGTAAACACTGTAAACCAAGAGAGTCTGCCCTCTTTCAGAAGGAGATTTCCCATCTAAATGTATTGGAAGAGAAGTTTGCTAGGTTATGGACTCAGTGTCAGAATTGTCAAGGAAGCTTGCACTCTGATGTGCTCTGTACAAGGTATACACTCAGACTTTGATCATTGTTATTCATGCTCACTGTGCCCCTATTGGCGAATGGAAGCTCTCATATAAAGACTAAGAGTATTTGATGTTAATAGAAAATGTTTGTTACATCCAAGATTTCTAGCTAATGTAAGGTAAGAAAAAGTTTACTTTACTCACATGGCTCTGTCTAATTTATAAATCTCAACAAACGAAATTTCAAGGGGTCCTTTGTCACTGTCTTGGTACATTCCTTTGGCATTACGTGATTGTGAGAATAGGGTCTTGCATAGATGCAAACCTAGATGTCTCCATCCAGAATTTAAAATGCTTACCAAAAAAACATAAATAATATTGGGCCACTGTGATTTCCCAGTTGTCACTAGGAATTGATATATATTGATGAAATATTACCGTTTTTTTTTTTTTTTTTTTTTTTTCAGCCGTGACTGTCCCATCTTTTACATGAGAAAGAAAGTCCAAAAAGACCTTTCTGATCAGGACAAACTCATTCAGAGATTTGGAGACTTCACTTGGTGATCAAACGACAAGGAGATGAGAGATGGTTATACATGGCTCAGTAGAGATCCAATTATGAATTACATAAGTGGCAGCATCCAAAAAATGTGGTGTTTACATGTATACCATTGGTGGAGCCATGATAGTAATAATTGTACATTGAAGAGGGTTGTATCCTCTTCTGTGTGTACTTGAAAAGCAGATTCTGGCCGTTATATAGTGTTTAGAAATCAGAGATGCATGTATGTTTGGCAATAAAGTGTTCTTCATAATACTTTGTATATACAGCATATAATTTAATAAAAATACAATGCAAGAAACAACTTGAATTCTAGTTCAATTTATTATGTGCAACTTCTCTTCAACTCTTATGTTAAATAGTGTCAGACAGATGATGAACATTGATCCCACCTTTCAAATAGCTGAATGCAAAATATTAAATAGAAGTCCAACAGAGTGGACTGCTTGATTGTTGTAGAACACTTGTAAATAAAAGCCATAATATATTGGTTCTATGCACAGCCTTAGCCTTGAAGTCTCCAGATTGATTGTGATCCATGTTTAACTGCATGATTTTGAAAGCTAAAAAACAATCAAGGTTTAATCTTGATTATTTTTTAGCTTTTCAAAATCATGCAAGAAAACATTCTATAGATTGTTACTGTCTTGACCATTTTTTGGAGCACACCCTGCATTCCATCATGTCCATCCTAGTTTGTGGTCAGCAATGCCCCCACAACAACAATATCGACTATATTGTTAGTCCTTTTCTACCTTCTCAGTCATAGAGCATTTGGATACCATCCTGGATGCAGTTACAAAACTTGAACTATCTCTTCACAGTTTGTGACTTGGACCACAAGCAAAACCAGTCTGACTTTGACAAGACTTAGACAACACTTCCAGCCATATACCTCATCGTTCACTTCTCTTGAAGATCAGGTTGTCTAATGCGTTCCTCCATCTTTTTATTCTTTGCATGGATCTTGAGCATGTCCATAACTTCGTTATCATACTCCTCAGGGGTAGGTTTCTTTTCCGTCATCCAATAGTAGATCTCCCAATCATTACTTGGTTGGTTTATAAGTTTGTCATATTGATCTAACATGGTGTCACTCAAATTATCCAAGTGTTTACCGGCAAATGTGCTGTGGATTTCAACGAAACAACATACTTAAGGCAAATGTATGACTAGCCTGTAGAGTGGGGAAGGGAGAACAGGGGGTCTGAACTCACCCTTGAAGGTTCCTGCCCCAGTGTGCTTTTTTCATTGTAGAATCAAACCTACAACTCGCTTACGACTGTCATGCATGTCACAAATTGTAGCCAAAATCAACAGAAAATAACATTTTGTGACAAATTTCTACTGAGTAGGGGAGGAAGGTGAAGTTTTCTTGCATCATATTGGTAGACGAAGTTGTTGTTGGCAAGTCACCATTGAGTTCGAAAGTGAAGACAACTTTTCCTGAAGAGGAGATGCTTAATACAGGGTTCATACGGGTCCTGGAAAACCTGGAAAGTCCTGGAATTTTGTTGTGACATTTTCCAGGACTGGAAAGTCCTGGAAAAAGGCTACTGGTCCTGGAATCTGAGTATCCCATATCCCATTAATTTTTGGCATAAATATCCTGTGTCCTTTAATTACCGTGGCAAAAATTAACCGTTTTCCTACTCAACATCCTAGGTTGTGCTAAATATCACATATCCCATATATGTTTACCCCAAATATTTAATCCTGTATCTGCTAATTTCATACCCAAATACTCTGTACCTTGAAAACCGCCAATAGGGCCTCTGATGCAAAAAGAAAGTGGAGATTCCTGCTGATTTTGAAGGCTAGTGACGCTACGCACACTAAGCAGCTGGAAAGCAATCAATCAACAGATCAACAGTTATTATGTAATAGCCTACCTCAACAGCAATCCGTTTTCAAGCATTCCACGCTTCCTGTAGTAAAATGATAACAGAATAAATCAAATTGTAGTTAGCTGCAGTTTGAAAAACGATCAGACCAGCTTTCAATTGTCTGTAACGCTAACAGATGTCCTCTCACCTGCTTTGGTAGAGTAGCCTTGCTCGTCTGCGATCGAGTGGTTCATTTTGAGGCGGTTTGTACTCGGGTATGGGCGGTTCTGTGCCAAGCGCATCGACCACTCTGTCCGAGAGAAGGCGGATATTTAACTTTTTTAAAAGAGGCTGTCGGGATCGGTGAAAGGTGAGGTCAAAACTCCTCCGCTCAAGTAAACCAAAGCCGAAATGGACTCTCCTGGCCGCCATTACTATAAGGTCAGCTGTAATATTTGCAGGCTCAAATGCCATAGCCTTGGTCTTTATATATTTATGGCTGTGTCTCACAAGGACTGGGAACTACCGAATTCACGAATTTGATTGGCTGAAATCGGTATTGACCGCGGTCTAGATATAATTATTGAACAGCATCTTTGTTTTGGGAAAAGCTTCGTTTGTATTTTCCTTCGATACAGTTAGTACATAGTATATGCGACTTCAAGACTTGCTTTGTCTGCGACCTCTTCAGTTGGTTGCCAGTGAAGATTTTAATTTGGGATGACTTCATGTAACCATGCACGAAAAATATTACTTGGTACAGAATAATACAACAACTGACAATAATATAACCAGATAGAAACAATAATAGTAACATAGAAATAAATAAGTAAATAAATAAATAAATAAGTAGAAATAAAAATGAAAATTATTATTTTAGCATGTGGTATCAAGGTTTATATTTCATTCATGGTTACTTGAGGTCACCTTGGATTTACCGATAAATCTGTTATGGGGACCAAATTAAGGGGTCATAAACGAAACTAGTTTTGTAGTTGTATATATTAGTGTAACTGTGTGTTGAAATAAGATTTGCATGCAGTTTTTCCCTAGCAAGATGATGTTAAGTAATTATACTTTAGTGATTTTGACAAGCAGACTGTTGCAGAAATGATCTCTATTCGAAAAAATAATTTAAATCAGGTCTTTCCTCATCCAGATAGTTGCTAATCATAATTTTACATGGACAATAATATATCTAAGAGTCTTTGTTCAGAAACTCATAAAATGTTGTAACTGAAACTAGGTCAATGAAAAAAAATGGAAATAAATACAAGTGGTACTGTCTCAGCGTGGTATTTTGTGATTGTTAGAATTGCACTGGTAAACTAGTTGTTTTTTCCAAGGCATCCTGGAAAGATGATATGGTGATAGTGGAAGGAGGGGATTGACAATGGTTTCACGTGAATAATCAACGTTTGAGTTACTTTTACGCATAAGAGAAACTAACACAGGGAAGCAAGTGTTGTTGTCATATTACCCTTCCCAATGCCTGAGAGCCTTTTTCTTGGTGAAAAAGCGTCAGTTTCACAGTAAACATTTTGTCACTTTATGAGAGACATAAGTTTACCTCTTTGAACCACGCAAGGAATCTGTTTCAATGTTGCCATAAAGGAGCCATAATCGGGAACGGAGACCATAAGCGAGCACTCATTGCGTGCTATTTTTAGTATGGTGGTGTCCCTATGAGCTGGGACAATTTTGCTATTTTAATTTTGCACCATCCAATGTGGCACATTACCTCTGCAAGGGCTTTACACCCATTTAGAATGCTTTCCAGCAGCCGAAAGTTGGTGTAACACAGTGGCAGATCCAGACCTTGAGCTAAGGGGGTGGGGGGGGGGGGGGGGGGGGGGGGGG